TTTTAAAATGCTTTGTACTCGAAAAAATTAGTCGGCCGAGTGCTTTTATAGCTGGCCATCATATGGTGTCTGGCCAGTCAGTGGGCACATCGTCAGATCAACAAGAGCAGGTTAGCTTGAATTGAAGGGAGAAACAATTATTTTAAAGGATTTCACCATTTCCATTCACTTCCATTATATTCTTTGCTTGGTTTGTTTTGAAAGAATACTATGTTTAGGATTCTAAAAATATGAGCCACAGAACATTGCAATAACGTCTAGAGTTACACCTACTAAAACTCGTTTTGGAAGAGATTCCATTTTGGTCAAAAAATATTCTATCCAAAACAGGTCGTTGGAGGGTTTAAAGCTTGATCCTTAGAACTCTTGCCGTGGAACTTGCACAAATTAACACATCTCATTTTCATCATCGAGAACTCAAAATAGAGTGCCCAAGTCTCCAGGCTAGTCCAAAATGGGGTGTCTATAGTTGCCCATATTTGATAGAGCTCGGTGTGTCATTTCATGACGTGAGTAAATGTTAAAACCTGAATACGACCCTTTTTGACAAGGCTATAAGACTTAGGCAAACAAAATGTAGATAAAACTTGGTTGAACCCAATGGTTGCCTATGTATCCCTTTGCAAGGAATCAAAGAAGCGTAGTTTAGAGGGGAGAATGCAAATGTTATCCTCGAAACATGTTTTGAAAAGGTGGGCTTACGCGGCGCGCTACCACAGTTTGATAATTGGGATTATGTGTATTGCACTGCCAGAGTTTTGAAAAACTTGATGATGTGAATGCCACGAAGGGTGACGAGGTGGAACAAATAGATAAAGCTGTAAAGATGGCAAAAGAAAGAGTAGGACCTCATGCAAATGGCACGCAAAACAAGCTAACATTTGTGAAAAATGTGAAGAATGATGCGCAACACAAACAAGCATGCAATGTACGAAAGAAACGCAAAACCCACCCACACTATGGTACGAGAGGAAAAGAGAAGAGGATGGTCGCAGCTAAAGCTACATGTGACTGGCAGTCACAACAACATGGAACTACACAACACACACCAAGCATGCTACGATGTTGAAAATGAAGGGATGGTGTTAATTACCAACTCGCGCAAGGGGCGGTATTAACCGAGGGTGGTATTAACTGCCAACCCCTCAGAGGGCGATAAAAATCAGAGGTTGTGTTCACTAGCAAACCCTGCAGGGGGGGTATTAATCGAGGGTAGTGCAAATTGCCAACCTATGCAGGGGGTAGCATTAGCCGATGGTGATATTAACTGCCAACCCCGCAAGGGATGGTATTAACCAAGGGTGGTGTTAACCGCCAACCCGCTCAGGGCACGGTATTAACCAAAGGTGGTGTTAACCAGTAACCCTGTAGGGGGCGGTATTACCTGAGGGTGGTATTAACCACCAACCCCACAGGAGGTGGTATTAACTGCAGGGTAGTGTTAATCACCAAATCATACAGGGGGTGGTATTAACTGAGGGTGGTGTTAACCATTAACCCACACAGGGGGCGGTACTAACTGGAGGTGGTGTTAATCACTAACCCCCCAGGGGACAGTATTAATTAATTATGGTGTTAACCGCCAACCCCGTAGGGGGCTGTACTAATCGGAGGTGGTGCTAACCGCCAACCCCACAGGGGGTGATATTAATCAGAGATGGTGTTAAGAGGTGGTGTTAAATGTCAACCCCGCAGAGGATGGTATTTTAATTGGAGCTGGTGTTAACCGCCAACCTTGTAGGGGCGGTATAAATCGGAAGTGGTGTTAACTCGCCAACCCTATAGGGGCAGTATTAATCGAAGGTGGTGCAAACCGGCAACCCGCGTAGGGGGTGGTATTAACCGAGGGTGGTATTAACTGCCAATGATACAAGGGGCAGTATTAACCGGGGGTGGTGTTAACTACTAACTCGCGTAGGGCACGATATTAACTGAAGGTGGTGTTAACAGCTAACCCTGTAGGGGGCAATATTACCCGAGGGTGGTGTTAACTGCAAACCCTACAAGGGGCGATATTAATTAGAGGGTGGTGTTAACTACCAAACTGCGCAGGGGGTGGTATTAACTGAGGATAGTGTCAATTGCCAACCCACACAGGAGGCGGTACTAACTGGAGGTGGTGTTAACCGCCAACTCCACAGGGGGCGGTATTAATTGAGGCTGGTGTTAACCACCAACCTCGTAGGGTTTTGTACTAACCAGAGGTGGTGTTAATAGCTAATCCCACAAAGGGCGATATTAATCAGAGGGTGGTATTTTAATCGGAGTTGGTCTTAACCGCCAACCCCGCAGGGGGTAGTATTAGCTGAGGGTGGTCTTAACCACCAACCCCGTAAAGGGCAGTATTAACCGGAGGTGGTGTTAACCTCCAACCCTGCATGGAGTAGTATTAACTGAGGGTGGTGTTTACCACCAACCCTGCAGGGGACGGTATTAACTAGAGGTGGTGTTAACTATAATGGGCAGTATTAACCAAGGGTGGTGTTTACCGCCAACCATGCAGGAGGCAATATTAACCGAAGGTGGTGTTAACCGCCAACCCCGTAAGAGGCGGTATTGACCAGAGGTGGTGTTAATCGCCAACCCCGTATGGAGTAGTATTAACCGGCATTGGTGTTAACCGCCAACCCTACAGGGGGCGGTATTAACCGGAGGTGGTGTTAACCGCTAACCCCGTAGGAGGCGGTATTAATCGGAGGTGGTGTTAATCAACAGCTCCATAGGGGCAGTATTAACCGAGGGTGGTGTTAACTACCAACCCTGCAGGGGGCGTATTAACCAGAGGTGGTGTTAACCACCAACCCCGTAGTGGGCAGTATTAACCAAAGGTGATCTTAACTGCCAACCCCGCAGGAAGCGGTATTAACCGAGGGTGGTGTTAACTGCCAACCCTGTAGGGGGCGGTATTAACTGAGGATATGCCTCTCACACTTAGCACGTGTAAGGGGCGATTGCAATAATAGAAGCATCATGCCGCAAAGGCAAATGGAGGAAAAACACAACGAAGATGGGGATAACCTTCTACTCCACAGGTTCTGCTGGATAATTTTACCTTAAAGTATGACAGGGGTATCGACCACATACCCCTAGATTACCATTGCATAATTCTAAACACCCTTATTTCAACATGCTGTTGAGGTTCTCTTGGCTAGTTGAAAATGTGGTCAGCCGAACAAATGATTGATCGGCTGATGTTATCGGGTTTTTACAAGGTCAGAATAGTCATTTCACATCTTCAAAAGTTTACATAAAGGCGTGACCATCCAACTTCCTTTTTCCATCCAAAAAATACCTCTCGAACTCTCTGAACTCATTCCCAAGCATTACCCATGGCTGATGATGATCTTCTTCCTTTTTTACCCAATTCTCCCATTGGTTTTGATGAATTAAACATGCCACTAGGAGTGACATCTCCTCTGGGAACACGGTGGCAGAGGCATTTATTATGGCCATGACAAATGGCTATGATCCCGTGCTTGCTTACATTATCACCGATGCAAGGAGGCATGGACTAGGATACCCTTGCGGAGGTGTTAACAGTATCTGGCAAGCAGCAGTTGATAAGCCTGCATAGACCTAGGCTCCTGGGAGAGGATGCTACCATAGTCCTTGTGGGGGCCGAATATCAGCACATGCAAGAAAGCCGAATGCATCTGAAGAAAATCAGGATATATATTATATTCGGCTCCGTCCTAGACTACCCCGAAGCTGAATAGACTAATCGGCCATAGAACTAGTTGAACAAAAAGTCGAGTGGGAACTGGCATACGACAGAAGGGGCCGAATGAGCAATCATACAATGGATTAAGAGTGGGCCCGACCCTAGGGCCCAAAAGCTAATATAAATAGAGGAACATCAACCAAAGAAAGGTATTTGAGAACAGACCCAGCAAACTTAAGACACAAGCAAACAAGAGACCTATACTAACTTGTCCATCGGAGTTCTAATTCCAGCACCCCCGATTGGAGTGTTAATCCCTTTTTCAGGTGGCGATCAAAGGATCAGGAACGTCCTTCAAGATCCAAGAGTATTTCCAAACCTACCTCTCCACAATTGGCACCATCTGTGAGAATACTCAAGCATATTCATGGCTAGCGTCACAGAAGATCCTCCGATAGTCGCTAACAAAACTACACCAAGAGATGACCTCACTCCAAGAAACATGCTGGGACCAGAGAATATCGTCACGCGACCTGCCTTGAACTTTGATTCAGTAGCTCAGACCTCACCCTCAACTTTAATGGATGAGACAATACAGATGATTATGGATCAACCAAAGAAAAATGAACAGCGGCTGGAGAACATGATGGCTGAGAATGAGCGCCTGCGCCAGGATTTGGCCTTGGAGGTGGCGAAATCCCAACAAGCCGCATGCCAAGACTGGGTTCGACCTTTAGGAAAGAAGGATGGTCGACGACATCGACTTCAGAAACGCAATAATGATAGTGATTCAGACTCACCATCCCTGGAGCCCAGAAAGAAAGGACGCGTTGATGTATCCAACTCATTTGATGGAAGTCCATATGTACGGCATAAACGAGGGAGAAGCGATGATTCGGATGAGGAAGATAAACATGACCCTTTCGTGTGATGAATTGCAAGGCCTGTGCTACCTAAAAAGTTCAAGCCACCGTCATTCATCCTCCACGATGGAAAATCGGACCCCACTGATCACATTCATCATTACAAGCAAGTGGTGACGCTCTATGTTGACGACGAAGCCCTAATCTGTCGAATATTTTCAAGCAGTCTAGGACCATTGGCCGTGAGGTGGTACTATAAAATGGAGTCGGCATCGATTAAGAGCTTCCACTAACTCCAACAGTCATTCAGGGCGAGATTCATTACTAATGATGTCCAACCGAAGCAAGCCGATTCTCTCTGGGCCATGCAAATTAAACCGGAAGAAACTCTTCGCGAATACTCGGCCCGCTATTGGGAGTGCTTTAGTCTAGTAAATGATGCTTGCAATGACTCCATGGCCATCACCGCCTTTAAGATGGGATTGCATCCTGATAGCCCCCTCTGCAGTTCATTAACCAGGCTGCCCCCCAAAACCGTCTGGGCGTTAATGAAGAAGGTCGAAGAATACTGCAAAGTGGAAGACGATGCCCTACGAGTCAAAGCTGGACGAAAATCCGTTGAGACGACCACGTCGAGAATTGTTCAGCCGATTAGCTTTGTGCCATCAAGAAACCCCAAGCAGCAGAATCGACCTAAACGAGACAAAAGGTGTGACTCGCGCCGATCAAATGACCAATGTTCACATCGAGCCAATGAACAGTATCAAGTGAATAGCAAGCGCACAAGGCACTCAAGCAAGAAATACATGGAGCTAACAAAGCCGATCAATAAGACTCTGTCGAAACTACAACACCTTCCATTCTTGAAGTGGCCGCCCAAGATGATGGGACCTCCCGATGCGAGAAAACAGGATAAACGGTGTGAGTATCATAAAGACTACGGTCACGACACCGATAGTTGTTATGCATTAAAAGATCACCTTGAAGAATTGGTGCAAGATGACCATCTTACCCAACACGTCCGAAAGAGCAATTCAACAAATACAGTAGCTCTATGGTCGAAGTCACCTCCTCTTGGTGTAATTCATATGATATACAGCTTGTCGGCATCATCCGAGGAGCATACAATCCAGTTGCCATCTAGCCCCCATAGCCCAATCACACCAGCGAAATGGCCCCATGACACAGGAATGATTAGTCTCGATGATAGTGATTTAGTTAGAATGACCGACCCCCACACCGATACCCTTGTCATCGAGCTATGCATAAACAGATTCACCATTGAGCGTGTTCTCATTGACCATGGCAACACTTCAAAAATAATGTATTACAAAACTATCGTCAAACTTGGTTTTACCGACTCGAACCTGTCGCCGGCTGATTACCCGTTATTAGGCTTTAATGCTAACCTGGAGTATCCTTTGGGCAAAATCACACTGCTAATACGGGCCGACATCGGATTAGTAGACGTTGAATTTCAGGTTGTCAAGCTTCCTTCGCCATATAATCTCATCTTGGGTAAAACATGGTTACATACGATGCAAGCCGTGCCAAGCACCTACACCAACTACTTCATTTTTCGACTGAATACGGTATCGAACAAATTCGCGGCTCTCAAAAATCAGCGGAAGCATGCTATCTTCTAGCTACAAAGAGACCAAAGAAGCTGGAAGTGCATTCAATTAAGGTACCGGATAGGGAGAGCCTCAAAGACATCAGGAGGATCCCAAGTGAAAAGGCAACCGAAGCCCTGTATCGGGTTGAAATTCACGGAAGTCCTGACAAGTTCTTTAGAATCGGCACTTCCTTGGATAAAGTTGAAAGGCAGGAGTTGGTATCCTTCTTACTCGACAACATTGATGTATTTGCATGGTCTCCATACGAGATGCCAGGAGTGGATCCATCAATGGCCCAACATTGCTTAAACGTTGATCCAAAATGTAAGCCAATTATTCAAAGAAGTCGGCAGTCAGCCGCAGAGCATACTTCGGCCGTTGTTGAAGAAGTAGATCGGTTACTTGACGCCAGGGCAGTTTCCAAAGTAACCTATCCTACATGGTTGTCCAATACTGTGGTCGTAAAGAAGAAGAATAGCTCTTGGCGTGTCTGTGTGGATTTCACAGACTTAAACAAAGACTGTCCCAAGGACTGTTTTCCCCTACCCAGAATAGACCAACTCGTAGATGCAACGGCACATAATCAATGCATGAGCTTCTTGGATGCCTGCAGGGGCTATCATCAAATTGCCATGCATTCGATGGATCAAGAAAAAATCGCATTCCTCACCCCAAGAGAAACCTATTGCTACAAGGTCATGCCTTTTGGGCTAAAGAATGCGGGGGCAATTTATCAAAGACTAGTGACTGCAATGTTCAAAGAACAACTCGGCCGTACCATTGAAGTATACATCAATAATATGGTGGTCAAATCTAAGGAAAAATACTCCTATATAGCCGATTTGTCAGAGACATTTGGCATTCTTCGAAAGTACAAGATGAAATTCAACGCTTCTAAGTGTGCATTCGGCATCAGATCCGGAAAATTCCTTGGCTACATCGTTAACCACCGTGGAATCGAAGCCAATCTGAGGCAAATCATGACAATTCTAGAGTTTGGATCCCCTCGGTCAGTCAAAGAGGTTCAGAAGCTTATGGGAATGGCCGGCGCGCTCAACAGGTTTATCAGCCGTTTCATAGATCGCTACCGACAATTCTTTCACACACTTCGGCAAGGCAGAGCATTTGATTGGACCCCCGAGTGCCAGGCCGCTTTGGACGGCTTGAAGTCTTATCTCCAACCAGTACCACTCTTGGCAACACCTACGGCAGGCGATCCGCTCATTTTGTATTTGGCAGTATCCGATCGGGTGGTCAGTGTCATACTGTTAAGGGAAGAACTTGGGGAGCAGCGACCAGTTTACTATGTGAGCAAAGCTATGGCCGACGCCGAAACACGTTACCTTCCACTGAAAAAGCTTATCCTTGCTCTCGTTATGGTTGCAAGAAAATTGATGCACTACTTTCAGGGGCATACCATTGGGGTACCAACGGAATATCCCCTCCAGTCAGCGCTCCGCAGCGCAGAAGCGTCCGAGCGTGTTTCAAAATGGGCTCTCGAACTCGGCCAGTATGATATCCAATTTCTACCAAAAACTTCCATCAAAGGGCAAGTGCTTGCCAACTTTGTAGCCCAATTCACAGGATCCCTCATCGACTTTAAGTCTGATCAAGTGCAAACTAAGCCCAACTAGAGAATGTATGTTGGTGACGTTTGGCAGATATATAGCGACGGATCATCCAACCAGCGTGGCAGTGGGACTGGCGTAGTAATCATGACCCCCAAAGGGGCAATAATCGAACAGGCCGTCAAACTGGGCTTCAATGCATCGAACAATGAGGCCGAATACGAAGCACTGTTAACCGGCCTCCGAAATGCACTTCACCTCGGTGCGCGGCGTCTGCTTGTTTTTTGTGACTCAAAGCTAGTAATCAACCAATTTAAAGGGGAATATACAGCCAAAAATGACCGCATGGCAGTGTAGACACCCCATTTTTGACCGACCTTAAGACTCAGACGTCATCGTTTGTGCGCGCGATGATTATGCATGTTTGTGCTCGTTTTGAGTGCCTGAAGATCTCGACCGTGCGCCTTGTCTTTGAGCCTCTAAACCCTCTATGTTTTGGCCTGGTTTTTGGACCGGACCTTGGTGCCTTTGCCTGGAGGGAGAGACAGGCCTGTAGGCCACTTTTTGTAGCTGTAGGCTACTTTTCCCTCTTGTAGGCCACTTGCAGTGGCCAATAGGCTAGTTTCAGGAGCTTTCGGCTGAGTGCCTTATCTTGGGGCCTCTTAGCTCTCTTTTTTTTGGTTTGTTTTTGGACCATACCTTGTTAGCTCTTGCCTAGAGGGAGGGGAGGGCTTGTCGACCACTTTTGGTAGTTATAGGCCACTTTTCCCTCTTGTAGGCCACTTGAAGTGGCCGGTAGGCTAATGGAAGTGGCTGGTTGGCCACTTGAAGTGGCCTACGGCCATTTTTCTATTTTTGCAGATATTTTTTGTGCCAGTTGTACCAGTTGTTAGCCACTAAATGCATCTTCCATACACTTGTCTACACGTGTATGGAGGGATTCAAGCAAGCTCTTGCTTGTATTTCTATAAAAGGGGAGGTGCCTCCCCCTTCTTTGGGGGTTCAGATTTTTTAGAGCAAAAAAATCTACTCTCTCTATATATTTTTGTACTTGAAAGGGTTTGAAAGTGGGAATTCTTTGTGCATTTGCAAAAGGACTCTTGATCAAACACTTCTAACTTGGAGCTGAGATTTCTTGAGGTTTGTTTGGAGCTTTTTAAAGTTGGTTTTGGTTTAGAAGTGCTGCTGTGGCTGTTGTGCTTCAAGGGTAAGCTATCTTCTCTTTGAAGCTTTGTTTTAGTTGCTTACTTAGCCACATTTGCATGCTATTTTAGGCCTAGCTTTCAACTACAAAAACCTTTGTTTTTAAGTGTTAAAAATGGTAGTTTAAAGTGTTTTTGGAGTTAGGGGTGTTTCACCCTCTTTGGTGGCTTATTTGCTTAGCTTCTTGCCTTTCTTTAAAGCTTTTGAAATTATCTTGTTTTGGCCTTTTAACCACTGAATTCTAGAGGAATTTCAGTAGTGAAAAACTTGTTTTGAGGTCCCAAATAGAAGGGGGTGGTCCCCCCTCCTCTTGTCTTGTTAGTATGTGTTGTTGGCGTACCAAATTAGCATGTGTTTCTCCCTTCTTGAGGCTTAGTTTGAGCATGTTTTTGTGACTTTTTGGACCTACTATAACTCTGTTTTTGGTTGGTTTGGTCACCTCTTGCATGTTTCATACACTTGTAGTGTAAATCCTACGTGCTAGCCTAACATGCTTCATGTCTTAGCCTATAATTCTAGCATGCTTTGGCTCCACTCCAGCAGGTTCATGTTTTTGGCCATTATTTAACATGCTTTAACTCTGATTTTGGTTGGTTGGGTCACCTCTTGGTTGGTTTTTGCAATTGTAGTGCAATCATGCTCATTAACTTAGTGTACTTGGTGATTTGGCTAATCATTCTAGCTTATTTTGGCTACACTCCAGCATGCTTTTACTCATGTTTTAGCATGCTTTAACTCTATCTTGAGTGGTTTAGGTCCTTTGAGGCTTTCTTTGTATAGCTATAGCATGATAGGCTTCACTAGCCTTGTGTTTTGAGTCCACTAGCATGCTTTGCTTAGGTTGTTTGCATGATATGGCATCATCTAATATGTGATTTTCAGAGCATGTTTCACTGTCATACTCTCATGTTTATCACTCTTTCATTGTGTTTAAGAGTTGTGCCTTTATGCCTTGTTTGGGAGCTAATACATGAGCATATCTTTCTTGCCATCTATGTTGAAGTCTAGCATATTTTTTCCATTGTTTCGACCTGCCTTGGGTCTGTTTTGTGTGGCCAAGGTCATTTGAACATTGTTTAATATGATTGTAATGTAAAAGGGCTTGACTAGCTTTGAGTTTTGGGGCCTTTAACATGTTGTGCATGTGATGTTTGCATGGTATGGCACCATTTGGCATGTTTCAATGCATTTAGTGTAGACACACTCTCATACACTTCACTTCTTCATAGCTCTTGAGAGTTGTACCTTATGCTTTGTTTGTGAGCCAACGCATGTGCATGCATTTCTTGCCTTTCATGCTATCATTTCAACTCATTTTGGCCACTGTTTTGGCATGCATAAGGTCTATTTAGGGCTGATTTAGTCCTTTGAGCATTGTGTTGCATGGTTCTAGTGTTGTGTCCTTCACTAATTTTAATGCTTAAGCCTTCTAGCATGCTGTACATGAAGTGTTTGCATGTTGGAGTCTTGTTTTTCATGCCACTTTAGCACTGAAAAATCTGTCATCTCCCTCATTTCTTCACTTTTGATTTGTCTTGGGGATTGGTTAGTCTTGAGTTTGAGTTTAATGCATAGGATTGAGGCTTGGGCTTAAATGGCTTTAACCCTCTTTTGAGGGCTCCTCCTAGTCAAAGGCATGGTCTCTCCTATGCCTTAAACCATTCTTTTGGTTGACCACCTCTCCTTAGAGGACTTGCACATTGGACTTAACCAATTAAAGGATTAATCGGTAATCTAAAACGAGTAAACAAAATGAATCAAAGTAAAACATGCCAAGATAACATGTTTGTGTTGCATTGCATGTGTTTGGATCGGACGTTAATCCAAACACAAGAAATGAGAGACGTTTTATACTTGAAGTGATGAACCGTGCCTTATTTCTTAGTCACCGACACCCTTGATTGTGCATGACAGGGTGGAGGCTCGTCGAGTCTATTTGTGCATTCATTGACTTGTACATACTTGGCTTCTCGGTCATCGTGCATTGAGATGCTCGGTTGGTGGACCGAGAGTCGAGTACCACACTCCTTTGAGCTTGAGAAATGATAAGGAGAGTGGTTGTACACACATATCCTGCAAGGACCTTGCTTTGCCTCTGTTGTTCCCTGTTTGCAGCAAAATTGGAGAATGCAGAAGCAAGTGGCCTACAGTCTCCTTGAGTGGCTGACAGTTCTCAAACTCAGAGGTGGTCCAAAGTTATTCTGGTTCTGGAGCAGAAACAGCCTAGAGATTGGTTTGGTGTTCAGAAATCAAGGCAAA